ACCTGGCTGGGCTGATATGAAATACCTAAAAATGCTCAACCAGTATAAGTGAGTCTTGGCTCTGCCTAGCTGCTATACTCGCAGAATGCAAGAACATTCGACCCTAAAGGGGACTGCTACTGAACACAGAACCAGATGAATGAAAGACCCTTGAAGTGCGATGGATGCGCGAAAGCGCAAGAAGAAAAGCGAAGTGAGCGCACTAAGGTAAGCGCGAGCATGGGAACATGAGCGCTAAGGCGCGCATTGTGCGGAAAATACCGGATGAGGAAACAGATAAGGAAGCGGATGTGCAAAGCGAGTGCAAACGCAGAGCGAGTGTTATAACAAGCGCGGATAAAGGTCTAGTATAGGCAGATAACGATAACCATTGGAAACACAAAGTGCGCCCAAGTGGTGACTACTACTCTAAGGTAAAACCCAATAGTGAGGGAAGTACAGCAAAGGGGAGTAATAATGATGATGTAGTAAGTCAGCAACTTTATACTATGGAAATCGCATCGGAAGCGGAAGGGATAGGAGCAATAAGCGCTATGAATACGTAATGACATGTAATAGCACTGCAATGCTTGTTACAAACCACGAGGCAAGGGATATGACATACCAATGAGGTGGGTGGACATAGAGGGACGTTCCTGGATGATAGGCGATGAGGGCAATGCAGGGCGCTTGCAGGGCGCTTAAGCGCGAGAAAGTGCGCAAGGTGCGCGTGTGGGAATGCTGTGCGTTGTGCAGGAAAGTACCGCGCCTATGGCGCGTTTCGCGGGAAAGCTGCACGTTGTGTGTAAAACGACTAGGGACATGATAGAAGTCAAATATAGCTGATGGTGCGAGTCGTGCATTGAAGGCCAATTGTCATGAGTTGTGAAAAGGTGCAAAATGTGCCCATATGTGCCTGCAGAAATGCGAGTCTCTACACTGCTTTAGTCAAACAGGCGTCAGCTCAGGACAAGAAGCATGCAGTCATCCACATGACCTGGAAACTTGAGTTGATTGAGAGGCAGAAGGTGTTCATGCAGTCACTCCGGAAAGAGCAGGAAGCAGAGCTTAAGATTGCAGAGACCGAAATGGAGTTCTTCAGGCAGCTTGTCTGTGAGCGAGGACTCCCTGCTTTACAAGATGATCAACAATATTTCAAGGCAATTTTCGCAGAAGAACTGGATGATCTCGATGTCGCTGATGCACAGTATAGACAGTTTTCGGCTCAAGGGAGGAAGTGTGTTGCCCCATTCGCTAACAGCAGCGACATGGAACTTTCTCCCAATGAACTCGAGGCAGATGATGATTCCCACTCCTCAGGCTCCCACAGTGATGGGGGGTCGGATGACCTCATTTATGGAGCGAATGAATAGGAGGGTACATTGCTGTTTCCCCATTTTTCCTCTTCTTTGTTTTATTAACGACACATGTACAGTCAATTTGATACAGAGCCATTCAATCCTTATTGCCCCCTATTGCCTCATTCATTCTATATCGCCTCCTATTGCCTCCAATTCAATACCCTGCTTCCAATTCAATCGCTGTGCACCACTTTATCTCATTGTACCTCAGCATCCCCACGAGTTTTCTGCATTTTCCGCTTATGTCGAATGCGCTGTAGACTTATGTATGATCTTTCCGATTTATACTCATCATGTACGGTTCTTTTTGCTTGAATATATCCTCCATTGGGTAAGTAAATGATTGGAAACTACTAGTAAGTAAGATCCCATGGCCCCGCGACGGACAGCCTCTCAACCACGAAGGACATCCGCCAAACAAAAGGTCAGTCCCCTCCAACATCAAATTCTTAAACGCTCCTGACACGATTTAGGCGCTGCCACGACCAAAAAGAATTCGTCACTCAACGCCTCAGGGCGCAACATCACAACCCAACTAGGTCTGCCTCAAGACCGCCCACAATCACCCGATGTAGAGACTCACGTTTCTCCAGGCTCATATGGGCCAAATTCACGCCTTTTCACGATGCACTCGATATCCTTGCAACGCGCTTCTCATATGACTTCCGCGCAACGCGCTGTGGGTATCACAACCTGGCAGGCACATATAAGAAAAGTGCTCAACCAGTATAAGTGAGTCTCAGCTCTGCCTAGCTGCTATACTCGCAGAATGCAAGAACGTTCGACCCTAAAGGGGAAGCAAGGAAAGCAAGGATCCACGGAATGATGCTGAACAACCCTGGTGAATGGCGGTGAAAGCGCGAGAAATGCGCTGAAGGCGCGCGCGGGAAAGTGAAGTGCGAAGGTGCACGGAGCGCGGGAAGGTAGTGCAAGCAGTGCACAAGTGTAGAAGACGGATACTGGGACTGATAAGAGGAAAAGTGCAGATCTAGACGGATACTGATAGTGCCCACTAGCTATAGACTGATGCTAGGGCCTCAAACGATGATTGACACATGCATTGCATGGAACTAACTGGTGATAGATACTGAGTGGTAGGAAGGTAAGGTGGAATAGTTGGGTGTGTAAGTGGGGTGTAAAACGAACATGAGAGTATGTAAGTTCTACCTAAGCGCTCTCCCAGGGCTCGGAGCCGAATAGGGAGCGCTCTAAGTATGTAAATGAGGTAAGGTGATGTAAAGTAAGGGTGCATAACGAAATGGGAAGTGTAATATGCTAAATATGGTCAGATAACGAAAAGGGACATACCAAGGGACTGGTTGGACGATGGATGGATGCTCCTGGATGCTGTGCGACATAGTGCGCTTAAGCGCGAGAAAGCGCGCAAGGCGCGCACGCGGGAATACTGCGCATTGTGCGGGAAAGTGTCGCGCCTATGGCGCGTTTTGCGGGAAGTGGTGCGCATGATGGTGGAAGTCATAGTGGATGATGGTGCAAGTTGTGCAGTAAAGGCCAGTCATCAGAATTCGTAAAATGAGCCCATATGAGCCCACAGAAACGCGAGTCTCTACAGCGCGCTTTGGCGTGTACCAGCACATTCGAGTGCGTTCGAGTGCGTTATGGTGCACTTTGTCGCATTTCCTTAGGATCCGTCACCTGTCCTCCGCATGTCCTGTCCTAGTCCTCCAAGGTCCATTGGTGCATTTTCCCTTCTTCAGAACTCATACTCCGTCACGCAGGCACTAGTACTTATCATCATATCTCGTTATGGACCCTGTCTTACCTCACCATTTACCTTAGTACTTCCTATTCGGCTCCGAGCCGTGGGAACTCGCTTAGCATACCTACACGTCACCATGTTTGTTTTCCTGTCACTTACTTCCGCTCCACTACCATCGAAGTGTATAGCTCAAGTTTCTATCAGAATACACCGGTTTCCTTCCTATTGGCGCTTTGACACCTTAAGTGTCTACTTCCACGTCTATCAAAGTCTTGATTCCCCCATTTATTGCCACCTCTACTCGAAGCACTCCGTTGTGATCGCATGAAGTGCGCTTTTCCGCACTTTCCGCCTTATTAGCACGTTTAGGCGCCTTTAGCTAGTGCACTTCGCTTTTGGGTGCATTATTTGCCTCAGAGTCCCATTCAGGCTTCGAGACCGAACCACTGGTTATAGATCCCCCTCACCTTTCACTAGAGGAATCTTTCTCAGTAGCAATCCCCTTGGGACGACTTTCCACTCGTATCCAGAGGAGCACTTGAGAGCCCACTTCCCACTCTTCTCCCTAGCACACAGCTATCATTCCTCGCCCTCACCGAGTCTGCACATTGCCCCCCCCAACATAGATCCCAATGAGTTCTGGCCTCCCTTCCAAACAGATCCTGAATTCCATCCGCATCCACAACCTCCCTACCAACAGATCTTCAATTTCATCAGCATCCGCAACCTCCCTTCCAACCAGATCTTCAACTACACCCACAACCGCCATTTCAACATTCACAGCAGCAGGATTACTCAATGGGGGGCAACCATGAGCTGCCACAACACAAATACTACCTGCCGCCACAACACAAATACCACCCGCCCCCTCAAAACGAGTACCACCCGCCCCCACAGAACGAGTACTGCCCATCCCCACAGAATGAGTACCACCTGCCACCGCAACACGAATACCACCTGCCCCCACAAAACGAGTACCACCTGCCCCCACAGAACGAGTACCACCTGCCCCCACAACACGAATACCACCCGCCTCCACAAAATGAGTACCACCCACCACCACAAGACCAATACCAGCAGGATGAATACCCTCCGCAAGACCAACTATTGCAGGGGAACTTCCAGCCGCCACCTCAAGACCAGCCATATGAAGGTGCAGAGGCTGGCCCTGTGCATCAGGACCTTGATCAGCTGTACAAAGGCGCAGAGGCTGGCCCTGTGCATCAGGACATTGACCTTTGTGGTCATGGCATACAGCGACATATGCGCTGGGACCTCGGTGAGGCTTATGTCCCACGCACGGAACCATGTCCTCAAGTTATTGGTGTTGCAATTCCGCGCGAGAGAGAACTCTCTTGCAGGGAATTTAGTCAAGGCGTTATTCATGCAAGCGTCTCTTTTCTTTTTCTTTACATACTGATATTTAGTATTACTTAGGACATCAGTAAATTCACACATTCCTTACCTTCCTTTTTCGTCACTTATTTTCTCACACAAGAGCGCACAAGAACCATATCATCTCCTTGTCACAAGCTTCAACAAGTTCAAAAGCAGATCCCTTCCTCTTGTATTTAGCTTTTCTTCGCTTTTTTTCCACTTTTTGTGCACTTATTTGAGAATGTATTGCATTGCAATCTTGATAGGTTTAATTTATATCCCCTTTTTCGCACTTATTTTCGACTTATTTGTGCTTAATCACTCTTGTTACGAGGAAAAAAACATTTGCATTTCAACCAAACAAGACGACTAAGTAGGTAGCGAGAGAAATAAGTAGTAGTAAGTAGAATAAGTGTGAAACTAAAAATGAGACGGCGACAGCAACGAGACGGTGACAGCAACGAGACGGCAACAGCGAGAAAACAACCCAGGTAGTACCAGCTACTAGTAGTAGTCAGATTCGAGATAGTATTGGATGAAAACAAGAGCGAAGAACATTACCTCTAGAAAATGAGGGCTCGCTCATCCTCAGTTTCGTCATCCACCTCCATCCGTGTGCCACGCCTCTTCATGGCAAGGCTCTGCGCGAGCTCCGAGTTGCGGTAAACGACCGAGTCTGGCAAGCGGCTGATAGACGTGGTGTAAGCCCTGGTCTGCACGCCCCAATTGGCATCTGAAAACGCCAATGGAACACTGCTCTCTTTACCCGTTGACGGATTGATGTGCAGCGGGGTCTTGTTGTTTCGGCCGTTGCCAGCGGTGTCGATGTCGCTCAGAAGCATCTGCCCATTGGCAAAAGTTTGATGGCACGTTCCATCTAAAACACAGGGTGAGTCAGCTGTATGAGGAGGAAAAAAATACATGCCGCTGCTGTAACGAGAGCGAGAGCGCCCTTCGAGTGTCCCGGCAATGTGTTGTTTGTTCCTGGCATGTTGACAGCGCCAGACGTGGCGCACTTGTGCTGCACAAGGACCTGCACAAGGAGGTCAGACTGGAATGGTCTGGACATCTCTCCGTCCTCTGAGATGTCCCCAAACAAAAAGCAGAGCCTTTCGAGCAAGCCCGATGCGAAATCTTGACGGTCCTGATCGGTGTTGAGGTCCTCCTGCGAGATCATGAAGTTAGCGAGTACAACGAGAGCCACATTGCTAATGCTATTGCGCCACTCTGACAACCGCTGGAGGGTCTACAAATAAAATGATCAGATTTACATCATGTGCGAAAAAAAAACATACGAGGGCGATGACAGGCCCGTCTGCTGTAACCGTGTGTGGAATCTTGTCTTTGTAGACCGCGTCCCAGGCTGACTGCAAGATAGGACAGAGAATGTCATCTGATAGCGTCCATACTTCAGATAAATCGCCAACACAGCGAATGGCAGTAGGAATGAACTCCCTTGCCCACTTGTTTGCCATCTGACAACCCTTTGGAAGATGCTTCTTCCTGAATGCAGAACGCGCAATTGCCTTGGAGGGAGTGGCGATAGCAGTGGCGATAGCGCGATGGGAACCAGTTATAGTGGTAGTGGACGATTCGGACTTCAGCCGTTTCGCCGGAGGGGCTTTGAGAGTGGTAGCAATGTTGGTCTGACAACTCGCAATCAGTTAAACATAGAATCAAGCAAACAACACAAACCGTAGATGTCAACCGGTGCGTGGACACTGGTTCAAAAGCAGGTTCAGCCTTAATTGCGATCATACGGTCATTAGTGCTCTCCACGATTTCATCATCGGATGATAGCGACAATAAGTCGTCCTCGCTCAGAAGAGGTGGCTGTTTCCGCTTCTGGCTTGCAGCCAGTGACTCATAATCCACTGGGAAGGCGGAGCGGGAAGAGGGTTTTTGGGCGAGGGGTGGAGGTACAAGGTCAGAGTCATAATCCGCGGCCTGTAGCTCGTGACTGGCATCGGAATCGGACTTATAGTCCCCCAGGGAGGCAAGCTGTGGAGGAGGGGGGATGTCGCCAATACCCAAATTCATGAAGATAATTTGGTCGCGGATATCGCTGAGGACTTCTGCGCGCTTGGCATCCTCAACTGGATCAGGCTGCTCAGGTTCTGAGGTTGCACCGCGAGGGAAAACATCGTCAAGTGCTTTGGACGCGATCTGCAGTTTTCGTTGAAACTACATCAAATTTGAATCTAAATATGATCAGACTCACAGTTAAAGCCTTTTTTGCCTTTGAAACCAGAAAGAGGTTTGGTGAACAGCTCCTCCGAGTCGTACTCGTCCTCGTCAGCATCAGACGCATACAGGCCCGAGAAAGCAGACCCAGCATCGGGAATACTGATGGGTGTGGACGGGGGTGGAACATTGCTGCTGATAGTGCTCCCTCTTGTGAGCTTAGAGAAAGCGGAGCTAGTACTAGCACTGCGTGAGTGCGTAGTAGCAGCCTTGGAGGATGGCTTTGAGGCGTTCGTGGGAACAGTCGATATCCACCCCGGAACACGTCCAGCAAACGAAAAAATTTTGGGACTTGCAGTATCAGAATTATTTATTGCGACATCGAAGAAAAAAAGGGCAGTTTCAGTCAAAAGGAGACTCATAGTTACTAGGTAAGAGAAAGACTTACATATCAATCGTCTTGACGTTTGCGTCACGTGCCTTTGTTGATCCATCGATAACGACACCAGCGTTTAACGCTTCAATCGCATCTCTCACCAGCGGTTTGGTGGCCTTTTTTCTCTGGGGTTTTGCTGCTACTGGCTCCTCCTCCAAGTCTTCATCAGTCGCAGGATGTTCAACATTAACACCAGCTGCTAACTGTCTGGCTCTACCCTTTTGACCCTTGCCTTTGGCGACAACAGGCTTATCAGTGGCGACAATTTCTGCTCCTGCTTGCCTACCATCCATAGTCGAGTCGGGAGTCTTCGAGGTTTTTGCAGCCTTCCCCACTGGGCGTGCATGAGGAGGCTTAGGCTTAGGTGCGTCAACACGGGCATTCTCTTGATCAGCCTGCATCTGTGCTTGCATAGTTGCAATACGCTGATAACTTTCCTGCACAGCTTTATGACTTGCCTCCTTTGCCTCCTTTTCGCGCTGGTCGTCAGCGGCCTTCTGAACAGCGGTATGTCTCTTTCCCTGACTTTCAATCACGATGCGTCCCGGATGTTGAGTCGCATTCTTAGGCCGAGTTGCCATGCGCTGCGCAACTGTCTTGGGCTGAGACATTGTGTCGAGGGAGGGATTTGGAGGCTGTTGAGGGAGGGATTTGGAGGCTGAAGAAAGTTGGCGGCGGCGGGTTACCGGGAGTTCAAGGCGAGTTTCATTACATTTTAAATTTTATAGTTGATAGCTGACTCTGAATAATTCACGGACCCTGCTTAATAGTCTGACGTACTTGTCTAACTACTATGAGTCTACTGCGACTGCCATAAACCTCTGGAGCATATATGCCAGCGCTTTTTCGGCAGAATAACAGGACCCACACCAAATTGAAATACCTTAGTCTGGTGAGTATCAACATTTACTAAAACCTGTCCGTCGGTATATTGACGTGCACTGGGGATATTTCAGTTCTGGTGGTGAGGTGACAATACTCACCAAAACCTTTCCGATGGTGGGGTGTCATTCGCGGATGTTCACCAAAACCTTTCCGGTGGCCCGGGAACATAAAGTTCACCAAAAGTTTCTGGTGGTATGGTTACATAACTGTCCATGTAACCAGAACTTTGCCGCCCATTTTCATCCCGATGTGGCGCCAAAACAAGCAGAGTCTGGACCCGATATTAGAGGCCGTTGTTGAACCCTGAATTTTTCCCTAGTCTCTGCTTCGCTAGCCATACACTGTATCAACCCGCACTCCTCATACCATGCCTGGAACTCGCCCTACTCATCGTTCCCTTCGGTTTCCATGTTTATCTCCAGGCTGTATGCGCTGGTTTCGAAATGCCTCAGGCCGCACTCAACACATGCATGCGTGCCATCCAGTTGCACTTGCTCAAGATTTTCTACCAACACCGCCTCAGTCGCCACCTCCTCCTGGTTTCTCGCCACCTCCTCCTGATTTCTCGCCACCTCCTCCTGATTTCTCGCCACCCCCCACCTGATGTCTCACCACCCCCACCTGATGTCGATGAGGATCCAGAGTCAGAATTCACGGACGCGAGTGGGCGTTACTATCGTACGTATCATTCGCTCCTCAATGGTAAGTTCCTTTCAATCAGTGCCCTTTCATGAATTGTGACTCAGACACGCTCTTAGGACTGCCATGCACAGCTGATGGTGTATTTCTACCGCCTGGTACACCACCAACTCCTGCTCCACTGAAGTCTCCTCATGACTGGAGTCCATATCGCAGTGATGTTGAGTTTGCAACGGCAGAGTTTACCTTCAAGCAATGCCATATGTCTAACAAAGCTTCGGACATACTATTCGACTTGATGGCTGCGCAGCTATTAAAACACAACGACTCCCCTCCATTCGCGGACCACAAGGATTTGCACAAGGTCATTGACGCTACACAGCTTGGCAATGTCCCTTGGCAATGTCTCTCAGTTCAATACGCGGGGGAACACCCTGAGCACGATACTCCTCCGTGGATGGGCAAAGAATATGAAGTTTGGTACAGAGACCCCCGCATGATGGCACACAACATGTTGGCCAATACCACCTACAAGGGTGAGATTGACTATGCGCCATTTCGAGAGTATGATTCGTCGGACAATACACGCCGATGGAAAGACTTTATGTCTGGAGATTGGGCATGGCAACAAGCCGTACGTATTCAATACATTTCTTATAATTCGGGGCACACTAACATTTTATCAGGACGAGATATCGAAGGATCCGAACACGCATGGATCAATGTTCGTCCCAATAATCCTTGGGAGTGACAAGACCACCGTATCTGTGGGCACGGGTAATAACGAATATTACCCCTTGTATGCCTCGATCGGCAATGTGCACAACAATGTGCGACGCGCTCATCGCGATGCTCTCGTTATCATTGGTTTCCTCTCTATACCAAAAAGTACGTGTATCAACGTTTAATATTGTGCCCTTCATCTGACCTATTGCGCAGCTACTAGGAAATATGCTCACGACGATTCGTTTCGTCTATTTCGCCGCCAGCTTTTTCACTGCTCGCTATCCGCGATTCTATCCACCCTGAAGCCTGCGATGACCGAGTACGAGGTCCTGCGTTGCGCAGACGGTCATTTTCGACGCATCATATTTGGCCTAGGACCTTACATAGCTGACTATGAGGAGCAACTGGTGCTATCTTGCACCGTCAAAAACTGGTGCCCGAAGTGAGCTCTTTCTTAATTCTACCTAACTTTTACTGACAATGTTTGTAGATGTCTTGCACATCGTGGTGACCTGGATGGCAGCGGTAATCTCCCACGCACTCGAGAGCATACAGATCTCCTCGTATCTGAACATATAGACTCAGATACATTGTGGCATGAATTTGGTATCGTTAGCGTTCTCGTCGTGAGTGATACTACCCACTCTCGTATTATGTACTTATTTATTTTGTACAGCCATTCACAAATGATTTCCCCCGAGCCGACATTCATAAATTGATATCCTTCGATCTCCTCCACCAGCTAGTCAAAGGCGCTTTCAAGGATCATCTTGTGGACTGGGTCTTAAAGTATCTCAAACTCACGCATGGGACCAAACGAGGAGAAGAGATCATGAGTGACATAGATCGCAGGTACGTGAACTCACTCATCCATTCGGCATTTTCTAACAATCAGTCAGAATTGCTGCTGTGGCATCATTCACTGGGCTACGGCGATTTCCCGACGGCCGTGGCTTCAAACAGTGGACGGGTAACGATTCCAAGGCCCTCATGAAGGTTTTCCTTCCGGCTATTGAAGGCCATGTACCTCAAGACATGGTGCGCGCATTTCGTGCTCTTTTAGAGTTTTGTTATATTGCATGACGCGATGTAATTACCGAAGCCTCTCTGGTTCAACTCAATGATGCGCTCACTCGGTTCCACCACTACCGCAAGATATTCGAAACCACAGGCACAGTCCCTCACTTCTCGTTACCTCATCAACACTCGATGACTCACTATGTGGACATGATCCGACTGTTTGGTGCCCCAAACGGATTATGTTCGTCGATCACAGAATCCAAGCACATCAAGGCGGTCAAGGAACCTTGGCGGTGGTCTAACAAGCACAACGCCCTGGGTCAAATGCTATTGACCAATCAACGGCTTGATAAACTTGCAGCATCTCGCCTGGACTTTGCTGCTCGTGGGATGCTTGTCGGCTCTGTGTTATCAAGAGCTGTGGCCGCTCTCAGTAAGTTTTCATATTTAATCATGTCATTTTACTAACTCGATGTGCAGCTGTCGGCCCTGAAGATGAGCCAAATGCCCCAGTGATCGCACCAGAAGTCGAGGGTGAGGTTGACGATGGTGAAGCTGTTGATGGCCCAACTGTGCTCGCTTTTGTGCAGCTCGCGCGGACACCTCGTAAGTGATGCTCTCATGTGTCATCTTGAATACTCACTAAGGTTTTCATAGAACGAAAACGGGCACGGACTGTAATGGAGCTAGCAGATGAGGTCAATGTACCTCACCTGCGACGCCTTATCCGTTACTTTCTGTTCTCTCAACTCCACCCTAACGATCCCCGCAGCCCCGAGGATGTCCCCGCTGCTAGCTGTCCTCGGCATGATGGCAGGCTTTATGTCTTTAATTCTGCAGCTGCGACTTTCTATGCCCCGAGCGATCCCAGTGGCATTGGCGGCATGCGACGTGAACAGATACGAGCTTGTCCACTCTGGCGGAATGTCGCTGCCCGTAATGATTGTGTGTTTGTCAATGCCAATCCAGACCTTGAAGGGATGAGAGGGCTCGAAGTCGCAAGAGTCAAATGTTTCTTTTCTTTCAAGTTTAATTGGGTCACATATCCATGTGCCCTCGTTCAGTGGTTCGACAAGGTTGGCGACTGTGCGGACGAGGATACCGGCATGTGGATAGTACGTCCAACTGTTCATGACGATGGCACCCCAAACTTCGCCGTCATCCATATTGACACAATTTACCGCGCAGCCCACTTGATCCCTGTCTATGGTCCCGACTTCATTGCTGACAACATCGAGTATTTTCACTCCTATGATGCTTTTCGCTCATTCTATATTAATAAATTTGCTGATCACCATGCATTTGAGATCGCGTCGTGATCACCAAACTTTGAGGAGACGGAGACGAAGACGACACTCCCCATCGCACAACCCGACGACACGAAACGACGTTGTCATGCGTTACGACGAATACACCAAGACGTACTAATGACTGCGATCTCAGCAACAAGATCCAGAGAGCCGAGCTCATTGCAGGGACCAGGTTTGACTGGTGAGTTCTCAATTTTTGTTTGTTTCATTATGTGCCAGCGCTCGATCGCAACCCTTGTCCTCCACCCGCCTCAAATCAAAACATGTCCGCAAGACGACTTTACCGATTCACTCGACTCCAACAACGTCGACTCCCAGAGACACTGGATGTCTTATATCCCCGGCACAATTCCTGACTCAATGTCACCAGAGTTGTCTCTCACTCTAAATCGCTCTCAAGGTCAAAATCCAATGGTCTCCTTCCACCCCGTCATCTTCGTCACAACAGCCCCAGCAACCCTCGCTACTCCATATCCGCAGTTCGTGCCCAGTGGTATGTGCCCACCGTGGCAGCCTTCAGACACCCCATGTTCCCCTGCATGCTGTCAACCCTCCTTTGATGGTCCACTACCTGACACACCCATCATGGCACACGCTATCCTCCCAAGACGTCCTGGCTGAACTTTATCTTGCAGGGCGAGCCACATGAGGGCAAGTAGACTTTTGCTGGTTCGCTGGGGAAGAACATTGTCTCCAAAGACGTGCTTGGAACGGAGAACGACCATGATGAATCAAGCACGCCGAACCTCATTTACGCGAACTATGCTGCTTTCCCTCATCTTGCTGCAGGGACTTTGGTTGATCTCAAGTGGGTGGCGTTCTTTGGAGCTGCTATGGTATGTGTTGTACAATAATTCGGTCGACATAAAATCATATGTTGATACCTCGCCTAGGCCGTCTTCCCTGCGTTCTTCTCCCTGAACTCGTTCCAATGATTCTAATATCAAAGTAAGTCAGCCGTTCGTTTAGCAAAATACATTGACTCACCTCCAGTCCGCCAGCATGCAGCTTACGCCATGTCGTGAACGCGTTCGAGCGTCTCTTGATCCAGGCACCCGCAAAGAACCTTCAATGCCCTCCAAATACCAACCCCCACACTCCTCATAACCCCTCTCCCTTCGACTTCTGCTCCCCTCGCTTGGTTGCGCCTTCCTCGCGTGTAGTAGAGACACGTCTCTACTACAACGCGTCGCTGATCTTGATGTGCGGACTGGACTAAGTGCTACGAACGATCGCGTCAGCGATCAAATCCATCCGCACATGAGACACAGCCTTGGAAGACTTACCATTGCCGCTAGGTTCATTGTTTGTTGATCAAAGTGAGTTGTGTTTGCTAGTGAATGATATTGGGCTGAAGACAAACGAATTGTTCAGCCGCAGACGTTTTCTCACGCTGCTAGCTGTCGAGCACAGCGAGCAGCTTAGTAGTATTATTATTTATTTTAACTACTTAATTCAATTGTATACAAAGCACTTGCACTTTTCTCACTTTCGCTACTTAATTGCTTGACGCCACTTGTAAGTGCTTGTGAAAAAATAATAACAAGTGACTAAGTACAACTAATTAGCGTCATGTCAGATATTTTCGCGACAAGTGACGAAAAAGGAAGGTAAGGAATGTGTGAATTTACTGATGGAGCTACATACTTCACAAGGTGTTGGTCGACTCAGAACGTGCCCAGTCGACCGACACCTGCCTCCGACCCCAGCATTGGCGCTGGTACCTGCACCTGCACCCCAACCAGCAGCATCAGCTCCCGAACCTGCACCTGCACCCCCACCCCCATCTGCACCTGCACCTGCACCAGCCGCAGCATCAGATGTTCCTGAGTCGCTCTTCGCCGTGGAACTCAATAAGTCCATGATCCAGGCCATCAAATCCGCTGCAAAAGAGGAGCTGCGTCGTGTGATGATGCAGGAGAGGGTCGCAGTTTCGGCGACGCAAAAACGAGGGGCTGTCGTCAACAAGGCGCTCAAGAAAGCTCGAATTTCTATGATCGGGCAAGGTGAGTCCCCCGATGCATTGATGATGCCACTCACTGACGCTTTCTGAAGTGAAATATAAATCATTCAAAGACAAAAAGGGTGTTCGCGAGGACCTCGTCACCTGCATGTCGAACGTGTGGCGATTGTTCAGGGATTATGCGGCCAACATCATTCAGACAGCACTGGGCCTCTGCTTACCCATCTCCTCACAACCTGGCGAGGAGGTTGCTCATAAGGCAACGGTCGTCCCAGAACTGTTGAAAGATCTCAACTTTGTGCACAAGTTAGAGTTGGTACGTTTTTACACAGATTTCGCGTGTCGCAGGCACTTATTTTACTCAACTCAGGATGACGATGGTATTGAACAGTGTCGACTTTTGGAGGCCGATTATTTTATTGAAATGATCATTCACGTTGTCTGGCAGAAAGGACTTCATGAGTATATTGATCTGGTTAAACTCAACAGCGCCATGGCCCTTGGCAGGGCTGCAGTGCACAATGCGCTGAAGGCTCACCACACAGGCAGGTTCGATTCCGTCGATGCTTCGGCTGAACAATTCTACGACATATACAATTCAATCCTGGAATTGATTGACAGGATTCGAGCAGATCCTGCTTTGAGAGCAAGGTACAAAATGCTGCAACAACTCATTGTGACGCGGGGTCGCGAGTGCTTGATCTGGACGATGAGTAGATAACATCCGTATCGCTTCGATAATCTGCAGATAATCTTCGCTATCGCTATGTACTACTACTAGATATCTTTTCAAAGTCATGCATCTTGTTACCAAGCATTAATAAAACTAATTTGGGGTCCAATAACGACTAAAACAGCGTAGTGTGAACTAAAAGCTCGCGTTTTAAAGCACTAACTAAATCAGGCTCGTACTGCGAGCCTCAAAGGCTACTCAAAGGTCCGTGTCTGGATTTTGGATTCTCTGATGTGTGAAGTCAGAAGGGTTTCTGCTGACTAAGCAAGTACCCCCAGGTAAGGGGTTTCTCATTAGATTTATCCATGTTCCAGGTGTGAGTTCATCCCAACGCCACTGGCAGCCAGCTGATGTTTTAGGAACAGAAGTCCATTTCCTAAATTGCCTGGAGCTCGAGGGATAGCATCCACGGGGTTTCCCCTACTCATAAGTAAAGGATACGTAAGTTTAAATTCGATTACTAGACGCGCCGTAACTTATCTCATATCTAGCTTAAGGGGGCCCCGCTCCCGTGATGCGGTGTTTCAGAGTAAGAAACTGACCGGTAACACCTCAGCGCTCATTGCTTATATCATCCACTCAGGACAATGGTGATGAGTAAGAACTCAGAGCGCAATCGGTAAAAAGTTGACCCACCTATTATCTGTTACATGTCTTCTGATATACTCATCCTCTTCGTGGCTGCACTGGCCACAGTTTTCTTCTACAGTCGTCGACACAGTAGATTACCACTACCCCCTGGGCCATCTCCAAAGTTCTTTTCCGGAAATGTTCATCAACTGCCAAAGAAAGAGCCTTGGCTGATGTATGCCACGTGGGCTGAAAGCTATGGTGCACATTGTCCGATTTTCGCTACGACACTTCTGACCTATGTCTCGTAGGGCCCATATTCTCCTTCCGCGTGCCTAACCGGCAGTTCATAGTCCTCAGCTCCCTACAAACGGCTACTGAATTGCTCGATTCACGTGCCACTACATATTCTGATCGTCCAAAAATATGGATGTACACAGAACTTGCGAAGCGCAACCTGAACCCGTTCAACATATCTTTCACTCACCCGTATTTCAAGACGTATCGCACGGCCCTCAAAGCCAGTCTGAGTCCCCGCACTATACAAAGCTACCAGTCGCTGCAAACCGAACAATCTCGTGTCCTGCTTGATGGTCTGCACAAGAGCCCTGAACATTTCGCCGATCAGATCAAAAGGTAAAATTCTTGCGATTGCTTGTTTTGCTCGTTTCTCATCCAAGGTGTAGGAATTCAGCGGCCGTTGTCCTTTATCTCGCATATGGTTGGAAGGTCACCGAGAATGATGATTATTTCATCGGTATCCTGAAAGAAGGCTTCGCAATCAGTGCCATACTATCCCAGCCTGGACGTTGGTTGGTCGAAGCAATACCATCATGTAGGCCCTCTTTTCAATTTCCGGGTATCATAAAACTCAGCTAGTCGACCTTCCATGAGTGCGTTTCCCTACCTTCATGGTTTCCAGGGGCAGGTTTTAAGCGTGTAGCATTTGACCTCGGGCAAAAGTTAAGTAGGATCGACACAATACCATTTAGTGGTCCAAACAGCAAATAGTAAGCCTTGCTAAGCAGTCTTGCGAGTTCCTATGATCCGGAATCCTAACCAATTTTCATCGCCGATCAGCACAGCGGCAGCTACACGCATTCCTTCGTTTCAGAACAGCTCCT